CCTGTCAAAAAGCGTCAACCAGCCGATGTAATTTCAAAAACAAATATTGTCAAAATTCACAGCTGATGGTCAAAAATTTCACAGCTGATGGGATTTAAACCAAAATCATACCTCTTTTAATGCTAGATCTAGTGCTGATTATGCATTGTTTTTTAGAGAAATGTGTGTTTCTGTCTGCTCATTCAACTGAGATGTAAAAGCTAAACATTCAAGACCTCAATAAAATGACATTGGTGTTTTGGAGTTTTCTATGTATTTGCATATTTCAAGTTTTCTTATTATTTGTTGCTTTCGGTGTTAATTTTGAGAAGAGTCGAGTTGCATTAGTATAAACTCATTATGATGATGCCCTGATATGACCTGATACGAACTGTTTCCGTTTGCTCTGCTGTAGTTTCAGTCTAGGCCTCGTCTGCTTACCATATCGTCATACAATATGTTCTCCTGATTCTGCTCCAGACCAGCAGGTCTCAATACACACCCATTCAGCCAAGAAACACACACTCTCACACATGCACAAATGCACACACACAGAGATCCTTGTGACTGTAATGAGGTAATGGTAGTCGATGAGAGGCAGACAGAGCGCTCCGCAGGTGGCCAGGAAAACAGCTCAGTGACACTGACCTCAGAGCTGCAAAAGTCTTATAGATGCAACGTGGTGGTGGTGATTGCTGGGGGGTATGTGTGTGTGACAGGGGATGGCTGCTTAACAAAATGAAACACAACATATACATGTGTGTATACAAGGAAGCAATGATGGATTAGCATACCCAAGCTAAGTTTACACACTGAATGATTTGTTATATGTATTTAAATATAAAGTAAAGGATGAGCATGAATGCATCCTAATCTATATGCACCCATTCATATCAGTAGTTCAAATGTGTGTGGCTCCGGTATTCCCTTAATATAAAATGTTATTATAACTGTAAATATTGTTGTTTGCAGTCTTGTTAATACTTGTTTGAGCGTTAAATAACTTTATATAAGAAAGAATAACACAGATACTGTATCAGAAATCAATTTTAAAGGTAGGAAATGTAAAAATTAAGGATAAAACTGACTGAGCTGTGAACAAAGTGACTATAGATATTTAAGTAATGGGATATATTGTTTGAATTTTCCATTTAAACTAGATTAATGTGTTTATTCCACTGATGATTGCTGCTGTTTCGTTATAAGGGAATTCACACAATAGCCCCAATACTGTACGCAGTGTCCACATCTAAAGACAGCAAAGATATTATGCAGTCAAGCTCCTAAACCTGAGACAGAATTTGAATAATTAATACCAGAGAAGGCGATGAGGAGAGAAAAGTGTTTATTTTGTATGTTTGATCATATTTTTGCTCTCGCCTGGCCTCGTCTTAACTGAGGCAGCCAGCACAGATGGTCACCCTGAGACCAACGCCACGTGCCAAGGTCACAAGACTCACGGACACCCGGCCCTCATGGACTCTGCTGCCAGACGTAACAGTGGACAGTGAACATGATTGAGACGGCTAAAAAGGCCAATCCCATCACAGGGTCGAACTGGCTGGATATTAGTAAGTAAACATGTCAGCCAAAGAGAGAGAGAGAGAGAGAGAAAGAGAGACACTGGTGCAGCAGCTAGAAGAGATTCATGCTGGTATTTTACGTTTTGTACTATCTCAGGCACTGAACTCATAATATTCTACAAAGATGACAAAGCAGGTAGGAGTTCAGCCTCTTATTAAGATGGCGGCTGACAGGACATGAGGCGCTTGTCAAAAGACAATTACAAAAAAACTGTATGAGTATGAATTCCCTTGAATAATTACACAAGCCCACGAAATTTCTCTTCCTTGCCATCTCTCTTCTCTCTTTGCCTGTCAGTCCGCCTCCCTCTTCTCCCACCTCCTCGGAGTAAATAGGACATTTAACAGACAGAGGGCTTTTAAATAGTGCAATGGTTTATTTTGTTTATATTAAAGGACCAGTGTGTAACAATTAGGGGGATCTGTTGGCAGAATATGGCAGAAATGGAATATAATATTCCTAGGTATTATGGTTTCATTAGCACATAAAGTCCACAATGTTGTCTACATAGGGCATTTTGCTTTTTTAGTAATCACTATAGGTTCTCCTACACGATTGGAAGGGGAAAGTAGAGCGAGGGGTATTCGGTATTCAGTTGGTTGCAATCTGCAACCTCACCACTAGAGACCACTAAACCCTACACACTGGTCCTTTTAGTTAATTTCAAGAAATTAGTGTGTAAAACATAATTTACAGAAATTCAGCATATCCTTTCTACTCTTTAAGTGGTTCAGTTCCTTGTTTATCAAAGCTTTGGCAGCAGTAATCACTAGTTACTGGCTCCAAACAGTACCAATATAACCTTAACATCGGCGTTAGTGAGGGTATACAGACACAGTCTAAGTGCATTAGTATTAGTGTTATTAGTGCATATTATGTTACTGTCTCTATGGGGTCAGTAGTTGCAGTGTAGTAGTTGCAATTAAAATTGGGGCAATCTTTTTATCTTCCTCTGAACTGGTTTTAATTAATATTCTAATGTATTTCTGTGCCTCAGGCAATAGTTAATGTCAGTAGTTGTACAAGAGGTTGTACTACTATTACATTTGTGATAGTGGTAGTAGTGGTTGTAGTTGTTGCTGTTGGGAGGTCAGTTTTGTTTCCATACCTGGAGTTGAGGTGGTCTTGACAACCTCTGACCTCTGTAGAAGATGGATGACCTCCATCCAGGAGTTGCTGAACTATCTGGTTAACGTCCAGGATCCTTCCCATCAGGCTGTTCATCTCCTGGTCCAGGCTCTCAAACCTTGAAGATAAGGAGCATTGTGTGATACGATGAGACAGTCAGTGGGTTAACAGGTTTTTGCACTGGCCAAAACGGTTGGAGTCACAGAAACCCAACCTCCTCCCTTGCCTCTCCTTTCCCTTTCCCTCACCTATGTGCCACCACCTCCACATCCTCCAGTCTCTCTGGGATCTCCATCTTGTCCAGCCACTGCTCCTTCTCATCAATCCACAGCTCGCAGGCGTTGACCTCGCTGAACATGCGGTAGACCGCAAGGGCATCGTGAAGCCACTGCTGTCTGAGCACCGCCACCTCAATCACTTCCGTATACAGCTGCTCCACCTCTCCCATGCGCACCTGCACCTCCTGCAGCGAGGAGATGGGAAAAGACAGGAGAGGACGCAGAAAGACGGGAGGAGAGGAAAGAGGAAAAACAATGACATTGAGGGGTAAAAGAAAAGAAAAGATGTAGAAGGACAAATAAAATACTCTATACCATAAAAGTTAAAGAATTTCCCTCGGGATAAATAAAGTATCTATCCATCTAAAGATCCTTTCCTTCCTCCATCTACCCACCTCCTGATCACGGTAACGCAGAGGCAGCGCCACCATGTGTTTGCGCAGTGCCACTACATGCAGACGATGTTTGTCGATGGCCTCGCTGACTCCTCTGTGTTTCTTTAGCAGGGACTGTGTGGAGTACTCATCATGCCCGAAGTCTTCACTGGACACCAGGCGGTAAGCATCCTGCAGCCAGGCCACCAGGTCGTCCGTCTCCGTGGAGAACTGAAAAAAGTTTAGCGCCTCCTGTAGGTGGCCAAGACGCTGAGCAGCTTGGTCCTCCAACCTCTTCCACTCGCTCTTCACATCCATGATGTGCTCCTGGATCCCCGCCGTGCCAAAGCTCTTTTCACTCAGGATCTGCTTTCCTCGCTTCATGGTGTTCTGGAGGAGCGGGGCAGGATGGAGGGATAACAGTGTTACTCAGTGTGGTGTTTCTTTCATTTGCAGGAGATTCGGTAATGACGTGTTGTCAATAACATGGCCAACAAAAAAAAAACAAAACCAAAATATTTAACAGACTTTAGGACATTGCTACTTTTAAAATTTGAAATCCTCTACAGATAAATTGTGAGGCATCTTCTGATAAGTATGTCTTCAAATGTAATAAAAATGCATCAAATTACACTGTAATATGTAAATGTTTTATTTGTTTTGGTCCTTATGACTGTTTCAAACTGTAAAAAAGATCATACTTTTATATGAATGAAACTAACTACTATATATAACAGGCAGAATAATATATTTTTCTCAAAAAAAACAAACAAAAAACAACTGTATTTGCAACTATTCAAAATTATTTTAGTGAGTGAAGTTGGGTTTTGTCTGTAACTGAGCTCAAAAAAATATTTCATAAACGCTAAGACATAAATTCAGTGAAGTACATAAAGTTCAGAACAGAAACTCAAGGTACTGTTGGTATCCCAGGTGCTGATTCTCACACACACAGAGAGACATGCACACACACCTGCAGCAGCGACCGGTGAGCCAGCAGTTCTCCAGCCAGAGTCTTGTGTTTTTGTAGTAACTTCAGCACACTGCTCAGGTCCTTCCCAAAACCCTGAGCACCCAAGATGGAGCTCTTCTCCCTGATCCAGGCCTCCGACTCCTCCAGCTCCTGACAGGAGAACAAACAGACAAACAAGATTTAAATGCTTAGATTTTAACAAAAAATATTAAAAGTAAAATAGGTTTTATAACCCTAAACTGATGTAAATAGAGGACAAAGGGAGTTTAAGCAATAACTCGGAAAAGATAAAAGACGATTGGAAGAATAAAAGGATATGAAAAGACGATGATAAGAAAGAAAGTTCAGAAATATAGAACAGTCCTCCCTTGCAATCCCTAAAGTCCATCCAACACTGATCCCAGTCTGTTTCTGAGAACCTCCCAAAAGGCAGAAGGGGAATTAGCCAAATGAATCAGTAATGTGATATAATTAGTGATTCACCAGTGTGGACCAATGACTCATTGGACAAAGAAATACGCTATTCTCGTTATGCACTCATTACTTTCAATGTTCGTTCTAAAAGCTTATTCACTAACATTAACAACTCGTTCATCACCTCCGTGTTATCAAAGTGACGGACAGCTTTTTCAGGAGATAGACACGGGCCAAGTCTGACAATGGATATGGACTGCCGAATGAAACGAAATGAGGCCTTATAACAAAGCACCAAAGAAAGATATTTGATAAATTTCTGATTGTACCTGTCGGACTTCAATAGACTATAGAGAGTGGGTCCATAAAAGGAACGCTTAGTTTCACTTTGATTTGACTTTGACATTTCTTTTTGAGAGCAACTAATCAGATGATAATTCTTCCTCCTTTTCTCCCAGCCTACAGGAAAGACAGCTGTGTTATTCGTAAATACTGTACTATATATATGCTGTAAAACACAAAATAATCTGCTCAGGTGTGGAGCAACCAGCACTGCAAAATATTTTGTCCTCATGCAAAGCAGCAAAGAACAAAGTGCTACTATTATTAAAGTATTTTGCAGTGTGATTTATTAGCTTTTCAGCAGACATTTCTGTTAAATCTCTCCTCTAATTAGCTAGTTTACTGAGCTGTATGAGAATGTGGTAGACCTAAAGTCTGCTTAAGACCTGACCATGTTGTTGCAAAGGTTGTTAAAAGCATAATAGATGGATTAATTAATGCATATTTACGCATGGGCCTT